TTTAAATAGTGGAGGCACAGCAGAATCAGAAACACTTTTATTGGCCAGGTATGTGTACACATACAAGCTATTTGACTCCAATGCACATACACAGAATAGCATAAATAAACAGCACAACAAGCTCAACTAAAGAGACATAAACTATATATAAAACGCATACATAAACGGAAACAATAACATTTGTAGACAGTAAGATGGAGCAGAGTATAAAGGATTGTGTCCAGAGTGTTAAAAGTCCAACACAAATCGAGAGCTGAAAGCATTAGTTGATTAATCAATCAACAGAACAATAATTGGTTGCAATTTTAATAATAAATTACTTGTTGTTTAAGCCAAAATACCAAAACATTGGTTTAAACTTTTCAAAGTGAATATGGGTCTAATCTTTCATTATAATAAGTGGAATATACCTTTAGATTTTGAAGTGTTGGTTGGACAATACAAATAAATCGAAACACGGCCACTTGAGACAATGTTGTAGGCATTTTACATTTTGCCGTTTGTTACCTCACTTGGATGTTTGAGCTCCAGTGTGCAGAATAATGTATGTGCAGACTTGAAGTGGAAGGCTGTTTTCACATTCATCTATACTGACTTAAAATCTGAGTTTAACAGGAGAACAAAAACACAGTTTTTGACATCACAACTAGCTTGGAAGCCAGCCTTGGTCCAATATGCAGCTTTGCATATTCATAGATTCTGAATTTTTCAGAAACCAATAGGTGTTATTTCAAGATCTTAAGAATTTAGTTGAATTGTTTGTAGAAAAAAAGACAAATTGTAATTTAATTGTAAATTGTAATATTTTTATGTCAAAACAAAATAAAAATTAACAAATTAGTTTTTAATTTATCGAATTATTTCATTTGGTTTGTCTTCAGATACATTGAACCAACCTGATATTACTGATTTTCCAACGATCTGTCCATCCTTACTGTGATTTTGTTCTCTCCCTATATATGATTCACCACGGCGCATCTCCCTTCCTTGGGCGTGTATCAAGCAAACGCGTGGTCTGCTCCCATTGGCTACAGCAATTATTCGTCCAGATTTGCTCCCCTCCGATTGGTCGAGAGGGATAACGCTTCCTTATTGAGGATCGAAACCGACGTCCAATCAGATTCAGACATCTGTTCCGAGGCGAGAGGAGAGCCGCGGCAGCGTTTTCCACTGTAACATTACTGTATGAGAGACCGACAAACAACGCCTCCTGCACGACGTACAGAGATTATTTGGACTTATTTGCAATCATAGTTGGTTAATTAGTTTTATTTGGCGGGGTGCTTCAGCTCGTCACCATGACAGCCCTGTCGCTGCTTTTGATGGCCGTGTCGGCCGCATCTGTACTGGCTGAGTCCACTGTGTATTTTCGAGAACAATTTGAAGATGGGGGTGAGGTCTTTTACACAAAATTCTACCTTTTTATAATTTAACTGTTTGCTGTGAGTTGTTGAAACTGTAAATGTGTCAGATACTACAGCACTGAATCAGTCACCGGTGGCTGGTCTTCATGTTGGGTGCTTGGAATGATTTCTTTCTTCTTTTTTTTGGACATGACAGCTTATAATTTTACCTCCACTCCTGTGGTGCATTGTCTACTTACTGCTATTTGAGATGCATTTATTCTACATGGGGACCATTCATCTTTTGACCCCCTCCTCTCCCCTCCCTTCCTCTCCTTCCTCTCCATCCCCCCCCAGCTATCATCAAACCCTGTCTGTCTCCCCATCCCCCTACTGCACATCTCTCCCCTGGCCATTCACTGTTCACCCCTCTTTACCTTCAGCTGTCTTGTTCCTTCACCACAGGCCTCTTAACAAACACTGTGTAGTTAGTGAAGGCAGCCACATAAAGCATGCCCCTGCAGCGTAACTCACTCCCAGTGCACCTGCACTGATGCATCATAAGTGGTGGATTAGCAGCTTGTGAGTGACTGCTGTGCAGCTGAACCTATACTTGTTTGTGCAGATGCCTGGAAGAGTCGCTGGGTGGAATCCAAGCACAAGTCGGACTACGGCATGTTTGTCCTGACTGCAGGGAAGTTCTATGGAGATGCAGAGCAAGACAAAGGTGAGTGGAAAGGTTAAATTGTACCCACCCACTGTGGATCTGTGGTCAACGCCCACATTGTTTTGGGTGTTAAACTGTGTTTTTAGTTTGTCTGCGGCCTGTTTTGAGGAGGTTTAGTAGGAGATTTCATTATATGGTTCTTTGGGATTAACTTAAGTTTGATTGTGTTCTTTAGCATTCAGACGACCATTCGTCTTAATTGTTTAGTTCATGTGACATTTGCTAGTGGCACAATACGGAGGTGAGATCGATCAGACAGAAGTTACACTGAATGTAAAGATATTTACAAACGGTTAAATTGCAATATAAAAATGTGAAGATTTAAACTGGTGAGATAAAAAATGAACTGCGATATCAATCGTGGTAACAAGGCGCAAAGATATCAGTTTCACATCGCAACACAAATACAACACAAAATGAAATATGCTTTTTTTCTGCACAGTTTATACCCGAACTCCAGGATTATATAATTTGATAAAATAAAATATATGTTTATTTTTGTCTTTTTGAGTCATAATTTGTCTTGTCTCTCTCCCTTGACCTGCAGATTAGTGTGACACTTTTTAAAGTTGCACTGGAATCCAGATGAAAGTGGTGACTGAGTCTGTGGGCTCATATATCGTTATTGTTTGAGATATTCTACCTAAATTAGAGTCCTCTGATTGTAGGGCTGCTAGCTATGAATCTGAAAACACGCCCAGTGAAATCACCATGGGTGTTGTCAGAGAGTCTCAGAGTTTTTCCATTATTAACTGTCTGTGGAGCAGCTTGTTTGCCTCCACATAACATCATCACACCAGGGCGTCTCTCTGCTGTACAACTTAAGAAGAGTTTACACATTTTAAATTATACTTAATGTTAGATCTTTCCCTTAATACAGATACATAGCAGTAAGTTTTTTTTCCTTTCTCCCCAGGTCTGCAGACAAGCCAGGACGCCCGCTTCTACGCCATGTCATCCCGTTTTGATGACTTCAACAACCAGGGCGAGCCTCTAATCATCCAGTTCACTGTGAAACACGAGCAGAGCATTGACTGTGGTGGAGGTTACATTAAACTGTTCCCCTCCGGCCTCAACCAGGAGGACATGCATGGAGACTCCGTCTACAACATCATGTTTGGTGAGTGTGGACAGTTTCTAGACTAGTATTTAATGTTTTTTTCCGGATTCCACTTTTTTACTCATTTGTTTGCTTGTTCAGGTCCTGATATTTGTGGGCCCGGCACAAAGAAGGTTCATGTCATCTTCAACTACAAAGGCAAGAACCATCTGATTAACAAGGACATCAGATGCAAGGTGAGACATCAGTAAATGGTTCTTGTTTTTATATTTACTCAGGGAAATGGTGGAAGTGTTTTCTAATTCTATATTGATTTTATTAGCATTTTGTAACATTGCTCTTGTCCCCCTGAGCACAAAACCAAATTAGCAAGGACATGTTGAAAGTGTTTTGCATTATAAACAGATTACATGTAAATCAGTGGTGAGTCGAACACAGTCTGAATAACTGCCAACAATCCTTTTATACCTTGCAGGATGATGAGTACACTCACCTGTACACACTGATTGTCAACCCTGACAACACTTACGAGGTCAAGATCGACAATAAGAAGGTTGAGTCTGGCAGTCTGGAGGATGACTGGGACTTCCTGCCTCCCAAAAAAATTAAGGACCCCGAAGCCAAAAAGCCAGAAGACTGGGATGACAGGGAGAAGATTCCTGACCCCGACGATAAGAAACCAGAGGTCAGTCTGCTTAAGCCAATCTAGAAATCTGTCCGTAGTTTTTATTTTCCCTTTGGTTCAGTTTTGCTTATTTTGTCTTTTGCTGTATCTCTTTGGTAGGACTGGGACAAGTCCGAGAACATCCCAGATCCTGATGCTAAGAAGCCTGATGATTGGGATGACGAGATGGACGGAGAGTGGGAGCCGCCTATGGTCACTAACCCAGATTACAAGGTAAACGGCAAATAATTACAGCACTTAATGTACAATTTTGAGACAATGGCTGCCACTATTGCCATGTCTGAACTAACTCCCTACTCGCTACCTGGTAAATATGGATGACTACAATTACAATTTGATTTTACAATACGTGAAAAATATTTGTTTATTTATCAGACATAAAATCTACAAAATGTATTTTCTTAATCAAAATCCTTCTATATTTCTGAGATAGGGTATAAACTGTGCAGAGCAATGACATGAATGACACAGGACGTCAAACAAGCAAAGTCAAAAGTAGATGGCGCACTCTGCTGTTTAAAAAGAGTATCACGATTAATTTTTCATCTGAACGATTTGAATCTTCACATGTTTGTGTTATTATTTCTGTCTCGCAGTATGTCTTGACATTACTTCTAGGAATCTATATTAACACCATTTTATTTAAGTGTCTAATATCTCAGCATAGGTATATGTCCCATATAGTTCCCTCAAAGATTCCTACATTGTGCACACTGAAAATTACATTTAAGCAACAATATATCTGTCAAAGTAAAAGGGTGACAAAGGGAGCCTGTTCTCAAGTAAAGTTTGAAGCATCGTTGTCCTAAAAATATATACTGTGTCATCATAAAATACAATTGGGGAGCATGTTTCTGTAATTTTTATTAACTTTGACACATTCTTCTGACAATAACCACACTGCCTGACTTTCTGTGTCTGATTGCTGTCAATAGGGTGAGTGGAAGCCCAGAGAGATCAACAATCCTGCCTACAAAGGCAAGTGGATCCACCCTGAGATTGACAACCCGGAGTACACAGCCGATTCTGAGATCTATAAATACGACAGCATTGGTGTGATTGGACTCGACTTGTGGCAGGTAAGAGTCTCACTGACTGATTCATAGAGATTGACAAACTAGTATATGACTCGCACTTTAATTATATCCATCCAAGGATAGGAGCCACTAGAGTTTTTTTTATGTTTGTGTGGGTGTCTAGTTTTCTCAGTCAGTGCAAAATTTAAAATGAAGAGAAACTGAGATCCTGTTGAGATAGTCAAGAAAAAGTGTCTTTTTTGTTGGATTGATGGATGTCTGTTAACTTCTTTTTGATGTAGGTCAAGTCTGGCACTATCTTCGATAACTTCCTGATCACCAATGACCCAAACCTGGCAGAGGAAGTGGGCAACGACACATGGGGTAAAACAAAGGTCAGCCCCAAACTTTTATCTTTACTGTTTGAGTATTTTTGGGGGGTTTATACATGAGGAATTATACATTTATCACCTTTTAATTTGTGGTCTACCGTGTGCACCCACTCTAGGATGCAGAGAAGAAGATGAAGGAAAGCCAAGAGGAGGAGGAGAGAAAGAAACGCGAGGAGGAGGACAAGCAGAGGAGAGAAGAGGCAAAGGAGGAAGACGAGGAGGAAGAGAAGGATGAGGAGGAGGAGGAAAACCCGAGGAGGACGCGCACAGCAGAGGAGAGAAGAGGCAGGAGACGACGAGGGGGAAGGTGGGAGGAGGGAGGAAACGAAGAAGAGATGAGAAGAGAGCAGGAGAAGGAAGAAAGAGGACGATGAAGGCAACAGACTTCTAAACTAAGGAGAGAAATTATCTCTTGCAGGAACTGCTACAGAAATAACCAGATCTGTCTGTGTCAATGAGCATTGGAACGAGGCTGGAGAACTGAGATGATTAGAACCCCATTAACTGACACCCTCGCGCGCGGTTGGGGTTCGGGTGGGAATGGCGGGTGTTCTTCATTTCTTCTGTTTGTTATACGCAGGGAGTAGATGAAAGGGGCAATCTATTGTCTGTTTCCATAGTGCGCTACCTACTACTATCACTTCATTAATTAATGTATTCATCGTATTATCTTATATATCTAAATG